TCGACCCAACGAAACGTGAACGTGACTTGGCTCGCCTGTTTCGCCTCTATTTAATTTTTTTTTTTTATTCATTTTCTTATTTTGTACGCCATAAATACACAATTTGTTGTTGTTGTTGTTTTTTCGCTCATTGCTTTTGCTGTTGCTGGCCGCTCCTTTGTTTGGCAGATCGTTTGCCAGCCTCTGGCTCCCCCGCTGGACCCACAACCTCTTCTCCATAACACTAGCGCAAACTTTACTTTGTTTTTATTTTGATTTTTTTTTCATTTTCTTTCTTGTTTCATTGTCTTTGTCTTCGTTGTGGCTGCTTTGGGCTTATGCTCTTCGCATGGGGGCTGTGCCGCAGCGGATGATTTGAGTGTTGTCTTGATTCGATTGTTGTTGTTGTTGTTGTTGTTGCTTTGTTTTTCTTTTTGCTTTGTAGATGCACAGATACGGATACAATTCATAGGCACAGGCCAGAGGCCTGCCTTTATGTGTGCGTGTGTGTGTGTGTGAGTTAGTTGCTTGCTTTTTAGTTTTGTTTATCGCTGTTTTCCTCATTTTACGCTTATTTGTTTTGAAATCAAATTAAACGACGCATAGCAAATCGAGAGGAAAAAACGAACAAAAAGTAAAAAACAGACGCTTTGCGACTAAACGTTTCCACAACGAGCTTTAGCAATTGATAGACTCAAGCTCCTGGAATATGTATGTATGTATGTACATATATCCAAGTTTTAGCCAGAGAACCAGACGATGATTCAACTTCTGGCAACGAGCCCCCTTTCGAAGCGAGTAAACAACCTTCTTCCAACTGGTTGAGCAATTTGCATTCGCTTGCAAATTAATTTATAATATTGTATACACGTCTATAATAATATTTATAATATATGTATAATATATTTTTAATGAGTTTTATATTTTTTCCTCAATGAGTATGTAGGTAATCGCTAATGCAATTACCCTAAAGCACAGTTATAAAATTGCGTTGACATGGATATGTGTAAACAGTATAAATACATTCAGGCATACATACATACATGCATACTTATTTGTTTGAACACACATATGAACTACATATATGTTCAAATGAACTGATGAACTTTTAGTGTAACTTAAATGCAGTTCAATGAGCAGAGCAGGTTCAGGGCTTGAGTTTTTTCTTATTAGATTCCGATCTACAGATTTTAGGTTAATAATTCTAGTAATTTTGCAGAGTCTACTCTTAAATCAATTTCATTTATATTTTTGTGTTCAATTTTGTTAAGTGTGAACGTTCATTTCCAAAAGAAACGGCCAAAAGTAAAAACGACTGATCTGGCAACTCTCAAGACACAGTGCTGAATTTAATTAAAAGCTAACTTAGGATCAATTGCATATACGAGAAGACAAACACGGAAATTCTCTTCGCTAAGCGGCAGTTGGCCAATTGGAGAATATATATGTACGTATTATCATATTTGGCAAGGACATGGACATGGCACAGCGCGTCGTATGCGTAATATGCGCTTATTGTCCCTGCTAACGACGTCATTTGTTTGGCTTAATTGTCAATAAATAATTGTAAAAAGTGCGCACTATTGGCCATTAGAGTTCGTATGTATTTGTTGTTGTTATTGTGACACAAAAAATCACAAGAATTCGCACATCATTTTTCAAGCTCAACAGCGATAACAACAGCTGCAAAAATAAGGCGCACGTTATGCTGGTGTGTGTGTGTGTGTGAGAGTGCGCGCATGTGTTTGTGTGTGTGTGCTGTCACGTCATCAGCACCGGCAGCAGCGACATCATCAAAGCCTGCGTAAGGCAAAGACAACCCTTAGAGAGAAAGAGAGCGAGCGAGAGCGAGAGAGAGACGTCAACTGGGATCTGTGGCGCCGGGATTAAACTTATGTGAAGAGGGGGGGGGGGGGGGCAGTGGCAGCGTTTATCCTTTCTCCATGGCTGATCAACCGCAAGTTACAAATGCCGAATGTTATTTTTGTCAGAGGACTTTTTCAATACGCCACCTTTTTCAGGCAACCCTTATGGCAGCCACGCCTCCCTGCCTGTCAGCCTGCGACCAAGGTGCGATGACGCATCAGTTCTATTATTTAAGCAAAAAAGTAAAAATATCTGCGCATTAGGATTTGATGTGTTCCTGGCATTGACTGACATTGATGACAATGATGACGCACAAACTCGCCCCTCGACCCGCTCCCGCAAGCAGTTGAAGATGAGCATAAGCATAATGCATGTTAACTGCTGCTCCTCAAGAGCTCTGTTCCTGACGCGTTGGGTTTTGCATGTGCAGGCGGCAGCAGCTGGATATAAACTACGCCACGTGCTCCTTGGATGCATCATTATTTATGCTCCATTTCGAACATGTCCAAAGCCCACAATTCCAAGGAGTCTGACACTTGGAATCCTTGCTATTATCATTCATTGGCAATTCAGTTAATCGGTTAAATGACAGGAAAGAAAGTTGTGTGAATATATCTTAAAAATTACAAACGATTTTATGGACAAATCATTTTTGACTGATTCCCATAAAACTATATGATATTCTGGGATATTTATATGATTTGATTAACATATCTTGCAAAAAAAGAAAGATGTTCATAAAAGAAGTTAATTATAGACCAATCATATAGCTGCCATATACGATATAGTGGTCCGATCCGAATCAGAGTCTAGTTTGCATAAAAACAGACAGCCGGACATGAATCTAGCGACTCACCTGTCGAGAACCGTTCACTAATCTATATAGTTTACCGGTATTTCATAAAAAGTAATACCTATTATATTATAATAATACAGATCATAATTAGTACACCTCACCAGCTTAAATCAAGGCCTTCTCAGCAAGAGTCATTGGAGAGGTCGAGCAACTCCCGACCCTCACTCTTTCTTTTTTTCCATACCATACTCTATATTATTACTATAACGAACGAAGATTCGAAATCAATTCAAATTACTTACCTAAATAAAAATTTTTTTATTCCTAGTTTTTATACAATACACACTATATTAGTTATTATTATAATTAAAAATTTATAAAGCATCGTAATTTCCGAGAATTGCTGAGTAAACGCTTGAATACTTTATTTAAATTATTTATGAATTAAACTTTTAACAGAATTATAAGGGAAAGTCCATTTTTATTAGTTTGTAAAGAAAACGGGGACTTCCATACGTAATGAATAAAATTAAGATAATTTTAACAAATCAAATCTTCAATTCTCAGTGACAAAATAAAGTTCGACTGATTTCAAATATCTCGCGAAATTTGTCTGGATAAATGATTACATTTTAATTTTATAAACGATACAAAATTCAGATTATTTTAACCAAACAGTAAAAGTAAAATTATATTATTTAGCAATATATTTATAAATTTTAGAAAAGAAATATGAGACTTCTATATATGTATTATATTTGATTCTTATAATTTGAGCTTTCCGCTATGGGAACAAGATCGTGAGTGTTCTAATCTTATCAGCTAGACAGCTTCCGCCTCGCCCTGCATGCGATAGATTTGCTTATGCAGCTTGACATTAACCAATTCATTGTGGAAGCTCCAATCGATGTCAAAGTCCAGATGCCGTAAGCCACGCTCAACGCGGAATTGGCCAGTGAGCACATCGCCAACGCAGAGCGGCAGATGGGCATCGATGTGGAAGAGGGCCTGCTTCCATTGGGTGGACGCTGCACTGGGGCTGGTTGTGATGGGTTTCAGATGGGGTGCGCCAGGGAAACGAAAGTCAAAGTAGAGCACAAACCACTTGGCAATGGCCTGGCGCAGGGTGCGTAGCTTAAAAGGCATAGCAAAGCTCAGCTCGCAGCGTTTCAGGGTGCGCATATCAAAGCGGCGCAGCACTTGCCGCTGGGTGAGCACCTGGGCGGCGTCCACGCAGCTGATGGCAGGTGTTTGCTGAATGATGCGCCAGGCCTGCCGCAAGTTTAGTCCACAGTAATGTGTCCAATAGTGCAGCGGCGAGCTGAATATGTCCGGCGAGTCGCGCGGCTGGTTAGCAGCAGCTATATAGAGATTGGCAATGTGGGGAAAGATGCTGCCGCCGGGCTTAAGCCATTTGTCGCGCGCATATATAACAGCCTCCAGGGCTGAGCTGTACATGAGGCAGGCGCTGCAAGGATACGTAGTGAAGTGAATGTTGAATGGGAGGGACATATTTGTTTGTTGTTTACCCCATCCACTTGGAGATAATTATATCAACTGTGGGCAGTTGCAGCTGCTCCACATTGCCCTGTATCACCTCGATTATATGCTCCAGCTGATTTTGGCGCACCAGCTGACGCGCCACTTGGCACACGGCGCTTGGCTCCACAGCAATTACGCGGGCTGCGCCCTGTTGTGCCGCCCACAAGGACAGCAACGCACTGCCGCAGCCCACCTCGAGTACTATGGCATTCCGGAAGAGATCGGCATTTGCTTCGATGGCCGCCTTAAAGCCCAGCATGGTTACCTCGTCCCGCATGACAACCTCATGCCTTTGCAGAAATTCCGCGTAGGTCTCCGCTGATATCATAGGGCAATCCTCGCCAGCTACGTTGTCTTCTTCAGCGGATTCATTGTCATTAATTATAGAACAAATTGTGTTTATATTTTTGAAATTATACTAATTACCAATGCCAATTGGCGCTGCCCCCGCATTTTCTTTGAACACTCGTGACGACATTGTTATCGACTTTATGCGATAATTAACAGCGTTGCCGGACCGTAAGCAATGTACCCAATTATTCATCTGCCGCTAAATGGCTAAAAACGGATGCCAAAAATAGCTAAATCAGTGCAATATTTTAATTGTTTCCGGCTGACGAGCTCTGAAAATAGCCAGAGTTAGCTAGAAAACGGTTCAGCTGGCAACACAATAAAAATGCACGCTAAATATCGATTAAGCAATTAAAATAGTATCGATATTGATTTATTGCATCGCTACTTAATTTGCGTATTTTCATTAATTGGTGTTTATTTTCTGTTTCTGCTGCAATTAAAAGTAAAGCATTGCGCTAGTGGATTTAGTTGTCATATGTTTATTCCATAAAAAATTTAGAGCGTCAATATGTAATAAATTTAAGCATCCCCACAAGCGTCTGTCGGCGGCGTCTCCTTCAATATGCCCAGCTTTCGCAGCTCACAGAGCACATCCTGCACGGACCCGAAGCGATTCAAGGTATAGAATTGTATGCCATGTACACCCAGATTAGCATCCAGTACCTGCTGAATGGTGCGCACGGCCAATTGGACAAAATAACTTTTAGCTTTCGCATCATCGTTCTGATATCTCTCCACCTCGGCACGCGCCTCGGCCGGCAGACTTATTTTTGAGATCATTTCAATTAGCGCATAGGACTTGAATGAATCCGGCACCACCACGCCCACCATTATGGGCGTCACGATGCCGGCGTTGCGGACGCAGCGCAGATATTCCACAATTATCTCGGGTGAGTAGCAAAGCTGCGTGATTATGAAATCTGCGCCGTTATCAATCTGAAAAAAAACAAAAGTTGTTGAGAGCGCAGCTGATAAGACCTGGCCTATCAGCAGTTCTTTAGGTGTAGGATTATTGTTGAAAAAAACTTCAAGAGTGCCTGTAGACGGGAGTGCCCGACTAGGGAATACCCGAGTTGCTTCTTGCCTTGAAGCATATAAACAAGCACATGCACATAAACACACACATGCATGTATACACACACGCACAAGCACGCAATTGCAAGCTGAGTTCTTCTTCTTCCATAAGCCCCTACTATGACAAAGGGATTCTTGAATATCTTCGGTGTTTAAAGGCCGATCTTTTTGAAATTTGCAGGGCTTAAATATGGCTATACCTCCATCTTTTATTTATTTTCCTGCAAACTAATCTATTTGCTGCCTCTATCTAATAATAATAATCTAAAAACCGATATTTATCGATTCCGTTCAAATGGTTGAGTTATCGATGAATTTAAATATACTTGATTTGCGTGAAGCCAAATTCCAAGTCTATAGCCTATGCAATTATAATCTCTTTTTTTTGACCAGTTTCAATCTGTACAGGGTATAAGAAGATATACTCGTGCGCAAGCTTTGAGCTTTAACCAAAATGAATTGCATATAAAATGCGCTTAAAGCTTTCATGTGCTTTTAGCACATGGAATTACCTTCTTCTTTAGGATTTCTATGTTCTCCGTGATATCCTGAGGTCCGCTCTTCAAGTTCGGGTAGCCTTGAGGATGTCCCGCGACGGCAATTGAAATGTTAACTGCGAATTAGATTGTCATGTCGCACGATTCTAGCTGATACAGACGAAGCAAACCCTGGATACTTACCGCCGCGGACACGTCGAGCATGCTCGACCAGCTGATAGCTGTTGCGGTAGACCTGATCCTCGTCCATCTTGTCACCGCGCACGGCGAGCATATTTCTAAAATTCAAGGCGAGAAACTCATCTATGCGCTCCTTGGTCTGCCGAAAGAGACTCAAGTGCGGCATGGCCGGTATGTGGGGCTCCAGATTGCGTATAAGCTGCAGCGTCTCCACCCTCTCAATGGGCAGCACATTCCAGTACTGGGGCAGCCACACGATGCTAATGAACGTGGGCAGCACGGGCAGGAACCCATTGAAGTCCACACAGGTTGGCTTACCCTTGGATTGTCCGGTTATCTCGATGCCATAGAAGAACTCACCGCGCGCGCTCTTACTGGTAACCAGATCGGAAATATACGGCTGCTGTCCAGCCGACGCCTTCTGCTCGGGCGTGAAATGGAAGCACGGCTCAATGAGGGGCGCCACTGGCGGAACGTCACTTACATTCGTGCCGAAGTGCTGTGCTCCGACCGTATCTATTGAATGCATTGCTAAATCAACGTCTATTGCGCTCCTCACACTTTGAGTCCGCTCAGACAACTGAAACTGATAGCAGCGTTTCTGGGCAAGCGCCGCTACGTTCCAGAGTGCCGCCGTGGCCCGGCAGCGGGTCACGTTGACGCACATTGCGATCAGCTGAAAACCGATTTGCCCACCGTGACGCTTTGCTTTGTTTACATACAGGTTATCTTAATTAGTTTGCCTATGTGTGCTTGGGTTTACACAATATGAGCATAAAAAACCTAATTTACTTTACTGACAACTGGAAGCCTATCCGAACCCATAAATAATATAAAATCGAATTCTCTAACTGAACTAGAATTGGTTTCGACTCGTAAAGTCTATGAGTTTTTCCAATGACCCAGTCATTTAGGCACTTGAACAAAGTGGATCAGAGTTCGAATCCCGTCTATTAATAACAATTCTATTTAAAAACATATACGATATACACCTTCAGAATCCCATACCAAAATATGGTATCACTTTTGCTCACCTTATTATTATAGCAAGCTGTCATGTGTTAAATTACCCTCACCTTTGGCCAAGGTGATCAGTCTCTAATGATCGTCCGCGTCAGGGATACCAAAGTGTTATATCTGTAGTATTTGATGGCATCAATTACTTCCATATGAATGTAGATCTCGTGGGCTCGGGGCAAGGAATCTTATCGAGAGTCAAAAAGATATCACCATTAAAATGCCCAAAACCTGCACGAAATGTGGCCCAATTCGTATAGAAATCCTCCTTACCATTGATTGACTGTTGGATAACCATCCAGCCAGGACCTGCTGTCGCACTCTCACAAAGTGCATCGAATGGATCTTTTTTGTGAATCATTTTATGAATACCCGGAGCATCTCCAAAGTGAGTGCAATCATTGAAAACGAGCTGCTCTTCGTAGTTTTTTCAATTTCGGATGTTTGTTGAGCCTGTTGATCAATTTCTTTTGGTTCTCTAGCTGCTCTCAAGGCATTGGAATTGGGTTTACTCATTTCGTCTTTTATTGATAAAACGTTGTTCGTAAACTCTTTAATAGTCTGTTTGTAGAATTCATTCTGAGCTCTCAGTTCCTCGATGACCAATTCATTACGTTGATTCAGTTTTTCCTGCAGTTGCTTGATTTCTCTGTCTTTGCTTTCAGCCTTATTGCTATGTTTTTCACTTTCTTCATTTGATTTTTATACTTTAATAATGATACTTCTCCTCTGCTATTCTAAAGAGATATATAGAAGCTCGACACAATTATTTGACTGGACTTTGATTATGGAAATGAATTCTCACACACACGCTCAAAAATAGAATAATATATGGAAATAAATTGACAGCTCAGTCCGCCGAAATTTCTGAAACTGATAAGCTATAAGAAGTAGGTCAGGAACTAAAAAACCCAAGTCATGGACTAGCTCTTAAGTGAGCTTCGTTGAACTGTTGAAAGATTGCAAATATCAAGGGTCATTAACTTTGATAAATGGACTTGAATTACATAATATGCGTGATAAATATTGAATCCTAAATGTAGATTCTAGAATGTGTAGCGATATCCAAATTATTGTTTTACCATGAATCGAACCTTAAACCAAGTCACACCGAACCGAACCATACTTTTCTCAAAAGTTGTTTGGTTCCAAATAAAGTTAGGTAAGTCCGATTTGGATATACACTCGAATCTTCTAATTAAATTTCATAATTTCCAATAATAGATCAAAAGTAGCTCCATTTTGATGCAACCCTGTGACCTGTTGAGTGTGAGGTTATGTGTTCGTAGAAGACCGCTCAAAATTAGATTTTCCAGTTTCTCTTTTTGTGCAATTTGATTTTGGGTCTGCGTGTGCTTCAGCTACAAATGAGATGTTTCATGAAAACAATTTTCAAGTAGTTTGTTGCAATTCCTCGAAACCAGCTACAAAACTCAATTCAACAAATTATAACAAACGCCGCTATTCATTTTCAATTTTACGATCATTTTCCGTTTTTAATTTGTTCCTCGTTTTTCCTCTGGTTTTTTATTTCTATTTTGTGCCGTTTTCTGAATGAGGCAAATTATTTGATGGCGTTAATTACAAAAATGCAGTCCATTTAGATTAGAGAGCTGCAAACGCAAATCAATTGATGTCGTTTTGGGGCATGGCATGTTGAAGAGAATGTGGCCCGAATGGGGGCGGGGCGGCAAATTTAATTGCTGTTCGCATCGCATTGCCCGTCCACTTGAAAACATTTGCAGCAAACAATTCGATGCGATACAAGTCGAACCGAAGCTATATAGCCCATAGCCACTTGGGTTACGCTTGAGAGCCATAATCATAATTTAAATGCGGCTGGCAACACTCGAGAGTCATAAAAAACGAGATCGTGGAGCGTTGAATTGCCAGTCGAAGCAGCAGGCTGACGAGGAGGAGGAGCTGGCGGTGCTGCTGCCTCGTCGAGCCTGGCCGAAAAATTGAAACTCCAAATCAATGCAGAAGGCAAGAAGACAGCAGCCAGATCGGTCCATCGGGCGTCAAGTGGCAATTAAAGATTCATTTTACTGCCTCGACTCCTCCTCAAAATTGTATTTCCAAATGTCTGCACTTAGCTCTGCTTTCCCCCCCACATCCACCATATGCCACAAGCCCTATATAAATATATATACATGTATATGAACCGGAGCTGCAAAAAAATAAAAGCGTATCGTTAAACCAGCAAGTAAAATACCTTAATAACGATTTGTTACCTGGCAACATATTATACCATTCGTACGTTAAACATTGATATATGAGCTTTGTACAGATTTGTTGCGATCTTGTGTATTTATAGCTATAATAAATCATCTGGCCCCTCTGATTGGGCATCCTCTAACTACTTTGACTACTACGAGCTTTCTGTTTTTATTTTCCAGAAAGATCTGGAACTTGTCATGGACTCTACTTATGCTAGCATCTCAAAAAGTATTTCAGTTCAAATGCTTATAATTTGAATATATTTGATGGTGAGTATTATAGTTAATTCTTAGCTTAACGAAGATTTCGCAATTTGAGATTTTAAGTTTTATTATATTGTCCTACAATCAATAACATTCAAATGATTCCAATTATAATGAAATTTTAGTTTAGAATTAGGGCTGCAAGTACAACAAAGAAAATTGTCGCTTGCTTAGTTCACGTTTCGAATCAACTCTTTATCTTTAGGATCAGTTCGCAAACCTAATTCTCCAAATACAAGGGACTAGGATGTTTTTCGCGATAATATTCATATACATATGAATATTATACATTTTTTAAAATTTTGCATCTACCAAATATGGAATGATCAATTTGATGATCGGGACACAAGTTATTAATTCATTGGTTCTTTTTTTTAATTTTTTTTATTTAGAAGAAACCATTTTTGTAAGAAAATATATTTTGGTTCGAATTAAGGTTCGACCAGTTTTACAACCTGGTTTAGTTTAAAGTTCAGTTCTTTGTAAAATGTAGTTTTTTCGTTAAATATGGTTCGGGCTATTGTTAAAAAATATATGAGCTCAGAGAGCAAACCGGTTCTGTCTGAAACCGGTATAAAGCCTTGCTTAAAACTAATTCTTAAAAATCTGTTTGGGTTCGATTATTTTTGAGGAACTGGATTTGGTTTCGGGTTCGGTTCATTGTTAAAATGTTCTCGTTTTGGTTTAAGGATTGGTTCATGGTAAAAACGTAAGGAACTCTCGAAGCAATCGGTTAGGCTATATATAAGGATTACCGCTGCGATTTTTTTTAGGTTCTTGCTTTGGTACAAGGTTCAGTTAGTTGTAAAAAATTTATGAATGTCGAAAACAAAACAGGTCGATTTACAATCGATTTAAAGCCTTGACTAAAATTAATTGATCAAATAAGTTGGTTTGGTTCGGCTGCTTTTGCGGGAACCGGTTTTGGTTTAAGGTATGGTTAACTGCTTTTAAAAGTTAGGAAAGTTACCCGGTTCGGGTAGAAATTAGAATAAATATTGAAAATGAGCATTAATTCATGGTAAAAATTTAAGAAACTCCCAAAGCGAACCGGTTAGGCGTAAATCTGGCTCCAGCCTTGCATTATATTAATAAAAATTAGATTCGGTTTATTTTAGGAACTGGTTTTGGTAAAATGTTCGGTTCATGGTATGGAATTTCGAAAGCGAACCGGTTCGGTATCCATCCTTGCCAAAAACGAATAAATACAAATATATGTTTCGGTTCGGCTGTTTTTGGGGAACTGGTTTTGGTTGAAGGTTTGGTACATAATATTTAAAAATCGTTCGGAATTGTAGGTACGAACCGGTTTGCTTTAAGCCCTTTTAAAACAGATTCATACCAAGAAGCAATGTGTGCATATATAAGTTATATAATATGGTTATTATATATGTGTTTGTTGCCCATGAAAATGGCATATACTTAGTTGGCTTATACATATATGGGTATGCCTCAAAATTTTTACCCTCCAATTCCCGTGTTAGTTTTCGTGACGGCTTTTATGGGGCGACGTTAATAAAAATATTTTGTTATTTGTGATAATTTCAGTGATATAAAATTGTTTATGATTATTAGTTTTCGCTTAGGGAACAAACCCCAGACACGCAGACACTCACTCCATTTGGAGGGAATGTTTGAGAACGGGAACGGGAATGGGAATGAGAACCTGCTCGCGGGGCCTTTCCGAAATGCTGGCGACATTGAGAAAGTGGGCACTAAATCAGCTGCGGAGCCGCCGTCTTCGCCGCCTAATTACAAATTTGATGCAGCTGCAGAGGCAGTCGACGATGCCTTCAACGGACCTTGAAATATATTTCGGACCGACATTAAAATTTGTTCGGGTTCGGCAAAGTGCGGCACATGTGGCACAGTTGCCCCTCAGGATGTCCCGGGGCAGGGGTAGGGCAGGGCATGGCTGTGCGTGCGTGCCTGTGTGTGCCTGCTCCGATCATCCGGACGAAATGCGACGCATGGAACCTGTTTCACAGATTTTGCTTTGTTAAAAGGCCATTCTAAAATTAAAGCGTCGATTGTGTGGGGTAGAGATCGTGTCATATTGGTCTCTAATAGGACACAAATAAACATGAGCATAAAAATAAATAGAATGGTTGCCCGTTTGTCGCACATTATGAATTTATATGTACCTAGTTTTTTTCACAATAGGGAACAGCATTTGGTGCAACCAAGAAATCTAAAAAATGAGGACAAGTCAAGCAATACGTGTTTGCAGGTAGCACCTGTCCATTA